AAATTTATTCAACGAACATATTTACCTATATTGTATATATTACATCTACTGTGGATACAGTACATGTGGCATATACTATCTATATTCTATCAAAAACCACATATACGATGTATATATATATATATATATATGTTCAATATATATATATGTCAAATATATATATATATATTATAATATATATATATATATATAGATTGCATATATTCTGTTTATATCTTACATATATATATATATGTTTATATATATATACACTACACATACATTCTATATTACATATAGTATATCCATTCTAATTATCGATACATATGCATTATATGCACTATAAAGACTACATACACCATGGCTTGGCTGCTGAGAAAACCCCCCCTCCCCTGCCACAGGGGGGGAACCATCTGGCTGGGTGGGGGGGGGGTGTGGGGGTCCCTGCTCATATATATATATATATATACAAATAATATGATATGATATGATATGATTTGATTTGATATGATATGATATATGATACATTCAATAAGATAATATACATTATCATACAATGATACGCTATATTATGCATAATGCTACACACAAAATAATCACATTTTTTCGCAATATAACACACTATAATATACTACTATGTAGTATCATATAATATAATACAATACAGCATAACAAAATTTAACATAATAGAACATAATAAAACATGATACATCATAATATATCATAATACAACATAATAAAACATAATATAACATTACAACATAGTAAAACATACTAAAGCATAATAAAACATAATAAAACACAATACACCACAATAACACATAATAAAACATAGCATAAAATAATACGCTATAGTAAAAAATAAGATAACATAATATAACATCATAAAACATAATATAAAATAATATAAAATAATACAATATAATATACCATAAAGAACATAATATAACAGAATACAACATAATGAACCATAATGTAACATAATACAACATAATAAAACATCATTTAGCATAAACAAACATAATAAATCATAATAAATTATAATAAAAAAACATAATACAACATAATAAAACATGATATAAAATAATAAAACATAATAAAGCACAATACAACATAATAACACATCATAAAATATAATATAACATAAGACAACATAACAACACATAATAAAAACATAATACAACATAATCAAACATAATATAACATAATACAACATAATGAAGCATAATATAACATAATAAAAACATAATACAACATAATAAAACATCATAAAAACATAATACAACATAATGAAACATAATAAAACATAATAAAAACATAATACAACATAATGAAACATAATAAAACATAATAAAAACATAATACAACATAATCAAACATAATGTAACATAATAAAAACATAATACAACATAATCAAACATAATAAAAACATAATACAACATAATCAAACATAATAAAAACATAATACAACATAATCAAACATCATATAACATAATACAACATAATGAAGCATAATATAACATAATAAAACATAATACAACATAATCAAACATAATATAACATAATACAACATAATGAAACATAATAAAACATCATAAAAACATAATACAACATAATGAAACATAATAAAACATAATAAAAACATAATACAACATAATCAAACATAATATAACATAATATAACATAATACAACATAATCAAATATAATAAAAACATAATACAACATAATCAAACATAATATAACATAATAAAAACATAATACAGCATAATCAAACATAATAAAAACATAATACAACATAATCAAACATAATACAACATAATACAACATAATGAAACATAATATAACATAATCAAAACATAATACAACATAATCAAACATAATATAACATAATACAACATAATCAAACATAATTTAAAATAATAAAAACATAATACAACATAATCAAACATAATATACCATAATACAACATAATGAAACATAATACAACATAATAAAAACATAATACAACATAATCAAACATTATATAACATAATACAACATAATAAAACATAATATAACATAATAAAAACATAATGCAACATAATCAAACATAATATAACATAATACAACATAATAAAAACATAATCAAACATAATATAACATAATACAACATAATTTAACATAATACAACATAATAAAAACATAATACAACATAATAACACATCATAAAACATAATATAACATAATACAACATAATACATCATCATAAAAGATAATAAAAACATAATACAACATAATAAAACATAATACAACATAATACAACATAATACAAAATAATAAAAAATAATAAAGACATAATACAACATAATCAAACATAATATAACATAATACAACATGATCAGGTTGACAACTTGTTGTCATCCTTCTTTGTTTAGGGAGTGAGCTTGGAGTAAGCATCTTGATGTGAATGCGAACGGCATGATGGCTCATAGGGAGGGTGTGGTAGGGTGAAGTGTGAGATGTTCACACATATGTTCACGAATGAAGAGGGGAATTGACTATTTGAATGTTGATGTTGGTACGGCTCGCCCCTCTCATTCTGATGTTGATGCAGCATTGCTGACGGCATGCTCAATGGGTCATGTCGTTCCCAAACCTAGGATGCCATGGGAATCCACTCCTTTGATGCGCCATGTGATGAAACGGGAATCGATGCCCTGGTTGAAGACCATGAAGATCCATCGAGCTTTGCCTACTGCTGCATTGAGCCATGTGATTGAGCCGGTGTTTGCGATCGATAAAAAGATAGCTATCAGAGAGTCTTGTGCGATGCAAGTCGGTAGAAAACGTGATCCGGAACGAGACAATGTCCTGCTGAAGTGGGTTGAAGCTTTGCTGCTTCTACCTGATAGGTCGCGTGTTGGAAAGCAGTTGATGGTTGTAGAAGTTGCAAGTGAGAACTGTGGAAGGCACCTACATATTGTGGCTGATTCCTTGCAGGGTAAGGCCACCAGGACTTTGGCATTGCGTGTCTCTTCACTTGTCTTGTACATCAAGTGGCACAAGTCAGTGGACCCTGATGGAAGCTTTCTACCTTTTGATGAAGATGTGGTTTACAATTACATGTGCCACCTGAGAGATTCTTCGTGTTCTGCTTCTCGTGGCACGACCTTTATAAGCACTATGTCTTTCTGTCGTGATATCTTGGGAATGGAAGGTGCTGGTGACTGTGTATCTTCGGCACGTATCTCTGGAGCAGCACTATCCATGTTCCTTATGAAACGACCGCTGAAGCAGGCTCCCCCTTTGGTGCCTTACATGTTGGCCGTGTTGGAAGTGGCAAGCTTCTTCGACAGCAATGCCTATGTTAGGTGCTTGGCTGGCTTCTGCTTGTGTTGCATCTATGGGCGGATGCGGGTTTCAGACATGAACCGCATTGCCAACATGGAGGTTCGTGGTGAGTTTGCAGAACTTTGCCTATTGCGTGTGAAGACCGCGAGGACCAAGGAGAAGCAGACCACTTTCCTTCCGAGTGTAATCCCGTGCCGTGGTGTTCTTGGGATAAACTGGTTTGCAGCATTCTTGTTCAACAGGAAATTTCTGGGCTTGGAGGATTTTCCAAGTCCTCACAGCGTGGCGCAAGTTGATAATTTTGTGGTACTGCCTTCGGAATCGTCTCTGCCTTTGGACAACTATGTAAAGGTCGCCACCTCAGAGGTGACCAATGGGTTGCGCACCATTCTGGGTAGAGTATGTGCTTTCGAGGTGGTTAGAAACTTTACGAGCCACAGCTTGAAGACTACGCTGCTGACATACCTGGGAATCATGGGTTGTGATTACACCTACACTGAGTTGTTGGGTTACCACCTAACCCAGCATCGCAGTGCAATCAACTACCAGCGCAATGCCTTGTCAGCCCCTCTGCGATACATGTGCGACATGTTGGACAAAGTGCGGGAAGGCGTTTTCGTGCCTTTGGCACCACGTGATGAAGTATTTCCAGAAGAGCACCGTGACATCATTCTGCAAATTCGAGATGCACTTGGCTTGGACCTGGAGTCTCTCATTGAAATGTTCCTAGGCCATGCTGTGTACGAAGTTGAGAAGGAAAACTGTCGACCAGAAGTGAAGCACTTATGGAAAGTTCTGCAGGACGACGTGGGTGTAAGCCAGAGCAATGAGCCCATGGAGCACCATGGGACCGTGGAACCCCGTGCCAAGGAGTCCGCAAGTTCGACGGTACATGTGCATGATGTCTCGAGCAGCTCAGACGAAATTGAAGCAAGCCCCACTGACGAAGAAACAGATTCTTGTTCGTCCTCAGCTGAAAGTGCGTTTGCCGAAGTTGCTAGGAACAATGGTGGAGCTAGGCTTCAATCGAAGTTTGCGATTTCCGAGATTCTCTACCGGCATGCTAGGACCAAAATGGTCCATATGGCCAATGCTGAGAATTCAGCAAAAACGGCATGTGGCCGTATGGTAGGCAGCACGTACAATCGCTACTATGGTGATGTGGAACGTGCATGGCCGCATTGCATACAGTGCTTTGGCAACCTGTGACTGAGCCTTGAAAAAAATAATGTATGCTGGGCGCTATGTGAGCCAATTCACTCGTCTCCTCACCATGTCAATGTTGCCGTTCAATGAAATGAGAAGAACTAGGGCCACTGAACGCTCCATGTTTCGGACTCAGCGTGTGGTGTTCTCTCTCTTTAGGCCGTGCCGATGTGGCAGATGTTGCCAGCAGCTGGAACCGCTGCAGAGGAGAAGCGCATGTTGATTTCCAGCAAGCATTCAAATGTTGATGTCAATTATCATGTGATTTTATGTTGCTGTGCAGTTTAGTCAGGAACCTTGGATGTCGAATTTCAACTCGTAGCATTTTCCTTTGCCAATTCTTTCTAGGTTGCATTCGTTTTAATTTCTCTTTCACGTGTGAATTTAATCTTTTCTTTTTCTCGTTTGAAAGTGCAGCATGTGACATGGTTGTGAACAAGCCACAAGTGACCTTGAGATTCACCTCGCAGTTGGCCCAGCTCATTTCCGTGAAGGTCAGACACCATGCTGGACTCATGTGCAGACTTCTTTGATAGAGCTGTGAAGCTTGGTGTCACCGACCCCGAGATACAGAACCTCAAGACTCTGGGCTATGACACGTTTGGTAAGCTGGCTTTCGCAACGAATTTTACTCCTGGTCAGGCTGATGAGTCTTCTTTAGTGCAGTTGGCAAAGGACATCACTGGAGTTGACCCTCCGCCGTTGAACAGGTTGCCAGTGGTGAGACGACTCTTTTTCGAGAGTTACACACTGGCTGCTGCTGATATGCAGCAACGTCTTGAAAGAAAGGATGATTCGGTACCAAGAAAGCTTGCTACGGCCGAAAGGGCCGCCAGATACCATGACCAGGTCCGGCGTTTAGCCGGCATAGACATGTCAGGTGAGTTGGAACCGTCCAATGCACTCATCGACTTGGTCTACCACATGACGGAGGAGGACCAACTTCGTTATGTGCGCTGGGAGGAGTGCACGAAGAGGGACCAAGAACTCATGTGGATCAAAAGCGATCCAGATTGGAAGCAAGATAGCTCAGGGCTGATTCGCGAGACAAAGGTCCAAGCCGAGTTGCAAGCCGAGACTGATACAGACCTGAAGCTTCGACTTGCACTTCAACGCCGGTCCCTTGCTTTCGACCAGGCTAGGCTATGTGATTACAACACCTTCGAACGTTGGACTCAGGTCATGATGGAGGCCTACACCACGAAGCCACCAGATGGATACCTCAAAGTCTCGGTGGAGCAATTGCACCGTGCAGATTTGCAGTTGTTCAAGCAGATGATGAAGGATACAAGGTCTGGAATCAAACCCCTTGGAGGCAACAAGCCGGTGGAAGAGACCCTTAAACGGGCGATCAATGCTGCCGACGTGCGTCTGTGCCTTCAACCCTTGCAAGGATCCTCGAAGAGAAAAGCTGAGACACGGGAAGATGAGCCCAAGAAAGGCAAGGGCTCCAATGACATCTCCGTCCTCAAGAAGACTATCGAGAACTTGCAGGGCCAGGTGAAAAATCTCCACAATGCATCTACGAGCTCGCCCCCTTCAAAGGGAAAGAAGGGCAAAGGGAAAGGACGTGGCAACATGATCAAGTTGCCACCACAACTGATTGGGATGTCCCCTACGACTGCTCAAGGTGAGCCGCTATGCTATGACTACAATTTGAAAGGCTGTTCAAGAGCCAAACAAGGAGAAAAGTGCCAGAAAGGATGGCACTTGTGCATGCGCTGGGGGTGCCAGAAACCTCACCCCCAGACAGAGCACGAGATGCAGTGACAGGATGGCGCCACCTCCCTGCCTGCTCGGGGGGTGAAGCGCAGTTTTCATGATGTCTCGGGTTGCCCTAGCTCGCAGCTGGTTTGCATTGAACTATGTGCGGGCCGAGCCAGGCTGTCCAAGCATCTGCATGGAGCAGGTTTCAGTGTTTTTGCTGTTGATCATTCGAAGAATCGTCACAAACAGCTTTTTCCTACAGTACAACTCGATCTGTCAGGTAATGATTGCGTTGAACAACTTCAAAGCATCATTGGGCATTCCAACTGCACATTTTACATTCACGCTGCTCCGCGGTGTGGAACATGTTCAAGGGCAAGAGCGAAGCGAATCCCGTTTAGGCTGCGTCGACGTGGAGTCCCTGACCCCAAACCTTTGAGGTCAGAGCGTTACCCTGACGGTCTGCCGACGTTGTCCGGGGTGTCATTGCAGCGAGTTCAATTGGCCAATGCTGTGTATGCAAACATTTGTAGAATCCTTGATCTTTTTGAGCATTGTATCATTTCAGTTGAGAACCCGGCTAGAAGTCATATGTGGAATACACGCTGGTTTCGCAAAGCTATTCAACGACATCAATTGTTTCCGATATCTTTTCAGCAGTGCATGCATGGGGGCCTTCGAAACAAATGGACCACGTTCTATGTCAATCACAGTGCCTTCAGCAGCCTTGCATTGACTTGTGACTCTTCCCATGATCACCAACCTTGGGGAGTTACAGGCACACAATCAGGTTGGAAGTTCAATACAGCAGATGAGGCTGAGTACCCTGCTCTACTCTGTGAACGTGTTGCAGCAATCATTGCCAGTGTGGCCAAAAAGCACAGTGTTGTTTTCATTCCACGTGAACTCACTCAGCCTCAACACCACCTGGAACCCAAACGTCGAGCTGCTGAAGCGGGCCGCCAACCCAGGGGCAATTTGCTTCCACAGATCATTTCTGAGTTCAAACAAAAGCTGACGCTGGCGGTGCCTGCCTCTTATGCTCGCGGAGCCCCACGACTGCTGACTGCACAAGAGCAATCTGCCCTGCAACTGCCGTTTACATCCAAGATTTTGTCGATTAAGAAGGGTGAGACCACGACAAGTGTTAATGCAGAAGATACATGTCTTGCTGAAATTGGCATATATAGGACCCCTGATGAGTTTCAACAAGTTGCTGCGGACCTACAACATCCTTTTGATGGTGCTTCAACGGTTCCTGATGATTTGAAACGTGCACTGTTTTGGCTTTTGACGCAGGGAGTGCATGTGGTACAACAAGAACGGGTCAAGCTTTTCGAACATTACAAGATGGCTGCTGATAATCTCGCTGAAGATGAAGCAGCCTTGCACTCTTTGATTGATGCCGACCGTGAAGCCCTTATCCGTGACAAGAAAATCCTTCTCTTTCAACTGATGTGTCGCGATGCTGGAGTGGATGATGAAGGATTGGGTGATTTGATCGCCAGTGGAGTTAAGTTGACTGGACAAGGTGAATACTCTCGGCAATTCGAGGAAGAACTGAAACCGCCGGCCATTTCCAATGTTGATCTCATGAGGTCGTCGAAGTGGACTCGTAGAAAGATATTGGGGCGCAGCAACCTCCATGTTCCGGATAACGTGCGTGAACAAGTCTGGCAAGGAGCACTGGATGAGGCACAGAAGGGGTGGCTCACTGGTCCCCTCACAGAGCTGGAGCTTCGTGGACAGTTGGGACCCATGTTTGTCGTTTCTCGCAGATTTGGCCTGACAAAGTACGGGCAATAGATGACATGTCCGAGAGTTTGGTGAACTCGGCGTATGGCAGTTCCTACAAACTTGATTTGCCAGGTATCGACGGTATATCAACAGCTTCGAGGACCTGGTTGGAATCCATCAGTGATGACCGAGGCGTACAGTTCACACTTTTTGACGGGACTGTTTTGAAGGGACGGTTGCATCATTCATTAACCCTTTCCGATGCACGTTCACTGAGAGGACGGACCTTAGACCTTGATGCCGCCTACAAACAACTGCTGACGGCTAAGTCGTCTCTTTGGTGCGCTGTCCTTGCGGTTGAAGATTTACAAGGTTGCAAGCGATTATTCAAATCCAATGTCATTCCCTTTGGTGCTTCTGCAAGTGTTTATGGATTTAACAAGCTGGCCCGTGCAATATACACGATTGGAGTTCGTCTTTTTGGCTTGGTCTGGAACAACTACTACGATGACTATCCCCAACTAGATATAGCTGCCTCAGGGGATGATGCTCAGGTCACAGCTGAAGCCTTTTTTTTTTGATTTGCTGGGCTGGCGTGTGTCTATGAAAGAGAGTAAACGAGTTCCCATGCCTGACACCTTTGAAGCCCTGGGTGTCACTTTTGATTTCACTGCCTCTGAAGATGGTGTGGTGATGGTACGCAACAAGCCCTCTAGGATTTTGCAAATTTGCTCGGAACTTGATCGAATCTTACATTCTGGTTGCCTATCAATTTCGGAGGCTACATCGCTGCGAGGTAAGCTTCAGTTTGCAGAGACCCACACATTTGGCCGTGTGCTGGCATCGCATTTGCAGATGTTCCACAAGCGTGCCTCGGGACAATTGAGCGACAGTGTTATTTCAGAGACGATGAGGCATGAACTTCTCTGGATACGTGATTTCATGACTGAAGATATACCCCGCAAACTGCTGAGTGGTATGGCTGACTATAAGCTGTGTATATTTACAGATGCTTCACTCGAAGGTTCGGATTCTCATGCTGGTGTGGGCATGGTAGCCTTGTATGTATGTGGTGGTCAGATTCAACAGAAGTTTTTCTTTTCGGATGTGGTCCCTGCCTGGATCCTCTCCTTGCTGCAATGCCGTACTCCCAAGATCATCTCTACTTTGGAGCTTCTCTCTGCTGTGATGGCGATACATTTGCTCGAGGATAAATTTCAGAACATACGCGTCATGCTCTTTGTAGATAATGAAGCTGCTAGGGCATCCCTGATCTCATTGAAGAGCTCCTTGGAAATCCACCAGTGTTTGCTGAGAAATGTGAGTTTGGCAGTTCGAAGGAGCGGCCTTTACCTTTGGACTGCCCGTGTGCCGTCTTCGAGCAACCCATCGGATGAACCGTCGCGTGAATTGGTTGACAAACTCCTCAATGCAGGATTTTGTCGACTCAGTGTTAGTTGGAACCTAGCTCACGTCCTGACCTCAGAGAAGAAATGTATTTGCTTGCTCCTCATGTTGATTCCAGTTTGCTCCCGCTGTGCATGTCCAAGAGGGGATAAACCAATGCACATACATGTTGATGCTCTCGTGGTGATGTACCACATGAATCATATGTTTGGATTCACTTGTGCATATGTTGATGGTTGTGAACGCGAGGAGATGCGTCGAGGACCTCCCCAGTTATTCAAAAAGGACTGGCCGCAGGTGCAGGACTTTAGTGAGACATCATGGCATGTGAATGAGATAAACAAGAACAGGTTGACAACTTGTTGTCATCCTTCTTTGTTTAGGGAGTGAGCTTGGAGTAAGCATCTTGATGTGAATGCGAACGGCATGATGGCTCATAGGGAGGGTGTGGTAGGGTGAAGTGTGAGATGTTCACACATATGTTCACGAATGCCCACCCATTTGTACCATGTACCCACCCATGTACTTCACCTCTGTTGTCGGGATAAACCAATGCACATACATGTTGATGCTCTCGTGGTGATGTACCACATGAATCATATGTTTGGATTCACTTGTGCATATGTTGATGGTTGTGAACGCGAGGAGATGCGTCGAGGACCTCCCCAGTTATTCAAAAAGGACTGGCCGCAGGTGCAGGACTTTAGTGAGACATCATGGCATGTGAATGAGATAAACAAAATCAAACATAATAAAACATAATAAAAACATAATACAACATAATCAAACACAATAAACCATAATACAACATAACCAAACATAATCAAACATAATTTCACATAATACAACATAATGAAACATAATACAACATAATGAAACATAATACAACATAATCAAACATAATAAAAACATAATACAACATAATAAAACATAATACAACATAATAAAAACATAATACAACATAATAAAACATAATACAACACAATAAAGACAATACAACATAATAAAACATAATACAACATAATAAAAGCATAATACAACATAATACAACATAATTCAACATAAGAAAACATAATAAAAGCATCATACAACATAATAAAACATAATAAAAACATAATAAACACATAATAAACACATAATACAACATAATAAAACATAATAAAAACATAATAAAAACATAATAAAAACATAATAAAAACATAATAAAACATAATAAAAACATAATAAAACTTAATAAAAACATAATACAACATAATCAAACATAATACAACATAATCAAACATAATAAAAACATAATACAACATAACCAAACATAATATTACATAATACAACATAATACAACATAATATAACATAATAAAAACATAATACAACATAATCAAACATAATAAAAACATAATACAACATAATACAACATAATACAACATAATAAAAACATAATACAACATAATCAAACATAATAGAACATAATACAACATACTAAAACATAATATAACATAATAAAAACATAATACAACATAATCAAACATAATATAACATAATACAACATAATAAAACATAATACAACATAATAAAAACATAATATAACATAATACAACATAATAAAACATAATTAAAGGACCGGATAACCCCACATGTTACCAACTTCTTTAGACTTAGACTGACCATAGAAGAGCAAGAAGGGAAGAGGAAGTATAAGAGTGATGGAGCGGTGATGGTGGGTGAGTTTGTGTGTATGTATGTATTGTTTCATGTACAGTATGAGTGAAGTGAGATGTTGAGTGAGTGATGTGAGTGTGGTGTTTTGAGTGAGGGATGTGGTGAGTGAAGTGAAGTGAAGTGAAGTGAAGTGAAGTGAAGTGAAGTGAGTGAGTGAGTGGGTGAGTGAGTGAGTGTGGTTGTGTGAGAGCTATCTATCTATCCATCTATCCATCCATCCATCCATCCATCCATCGATCTTTGTGTGTATGTGTGTGACTGAGAGTGT